TGTGGTGGACATGTAGTAAGGTGAAAGCTTTCTGGGAAATGTATATAAAGAGTTAAAGAAAATGTATAAAAATACATTTGTTAAAAAATCAGAAGCATTCTTATAGGGTACAATAGGCAAGGAAATTCCAAAAAAAGATCAAAAATTGTTTATGTATGCAACAACGGCAACAAGGACTCTTTTAGCCCCAAAATGAAAACAACAAGAAATACCAACGTTAGAAGAGTGTCAGATGAAGATGATGGAATATGCAGAATTGGCAAAGCTGACCGGGAAAATCCAAAACCGGTGTGATCAAGCTTTCCAAAAAGACTGGAGTAAATTTATACAATATTTGAAGGACAATTGTAAACAATTAACAACACTAGTAGGGCTGATATAAAAAGACTTGTAATGACAATGATTATTACCTTTTTATATTTATTTAAAATTTCTGATAATTGGAATAAGTGAAATGTAAATAGGAAGAGGTACAATGAATTATGAAATGAATTATGAAAACCATGAGTCGGGAGGGAGGGAAGTCGATTAACTGATATGAGCATATAGTAAGGATAATAAATAAGGATGTATTTAAATATTATGAAATGGAAACTTAATAAAATATTACAAAAGGAAAATAACCTAAATGGGGCACCAAAAAGTTGTTATATCCAAGTGGTGATGGTTGGTGTCCATTTGGGATTAGTAGGGCAGAAGGCAGGGAGCCCAAGATAGGTGGTGCCAGAGAGCCACGGACTGGCAGACCCATTCTAGTTTTAGTCTAGCCCCATTTGGAGGCCACCATGTTAGGGAAGGAAGGCTGGGCTTACGTTTTGTCCACATCTGTTTGTTTTCTTCTTTTTGTGACGTTTCTTATAACTTTCTCTTCTCTTTCTCATTCCACATGCTGTCATTTTGTGGGTAGGAGTGATTGACAGAGGTAATTCTTTGTATCTAGTAGTTTTTATTTTTCTTAAAAGAAAACCCTTGGTGAACAGGAGTTCCAAGAAAAAAAGGGGGGGTTGCTGAGAACACGCTCTGTGTGGGGGATTTTTTGGTCTCTCAGCACCACCAGTCTCTGCTGCTGAAATTAAGAGGTTTCATACAAGGAACCTACGTCTGATAGCTCCGAACTGGGAGTGTTGCTTTTCCACCAAGCATATGCTTTGTGTCTGGCTCCATTGAGCATCCAGTTGTGCTATGTCTTCCTGTCACTTAGAAGCATTTCCCCTTTGATTTATCTAGTGAGAGAGGATTAGTTTCTAGGGGATTTCCAAGAGAGGCTGTCAGGCCTGCCTTAAATGAGAGGGAAAAGAGAGAGATCTGCATCACTCTCTCCTCCAGAGTATTATTTTATTCTATTTTATTCAGTTCTATTCTATTCCATTCATCGCCTCTGTATCTTGATTAATCAGACTGGAACATCTCTAGCCCAACAGTTAAATGATTTAGGGACCAATAGGGAGCCAGAGAACAACCTCCTGGTTTCCATTTAATTATTATTTTTTTGTCCAAAGAGATGGAGAGTGCAGGGGAACAGAGGTCAAGCGTTTCTGGTGAATTGCCAGTGACAGGATCTTCCTCCTTCGCTTCTCATCATTTCCCATCTTCTAATATTGGTGTGGCAAGGAAGGGGGGGCACCCAAGTCCTTCCTACTTCTGCTTTGCTTTAGAACTTTTCTGCATCTGATATAAAGGAGCTCCAATGAGCAACTCTTCCCCCTCCCCCAGCAATAGCTTTCAGGTGTACAAAGTGGGAGAGGCTAGGATGGTCCCAGGTTGGCCATCCCTGGTGTAGTTGTCGCTAGATTTAGTTTTCATTAGGAAAACTTTTTCCAGTGCAAAAAGGGTTTTTTCCGGTAAGTGGTAAGTTCTACAAAAGACACCCGCCTCCCAAAAATCCTTATCTTTTTGGCACTGTTTCACCCTTCCTAGCAGCTGTGGTTTTGTTTTATGAAAGATGGTTCTTGCTGGCTACTTTATTCAGCGTATCAAAAACTACAGAGTTGGCACAGTGTCATCAGCCAACAGGTTTGCAGCACCATTGCAAAGCCAAATCGCAGTGACAACAGTGCTTTCTAACCCTTACGCTGAATGGGTAAACCTTTCCATCACACCAAAACAGTTGACCACACAATGTGGGGAGTGAAAAATCTTGATGAAATGTGTCCAATCATTTTGTCTCTGCCTTAGAGAGAGGACTGAAGCACCCCAGCAGGTTTCTTTGTTTCTGCCTTTAATTTAATTTAACTTAACTTAAATTTTAAAAGAAATAACCCAATGTATCTCATACAAGAGAATCAGTCCCAAGAGACCTATAGAGGGGTATTGTTCTCTGCTTCTGCTTATTGACTCGCTTGCTGGGCACATTTTGGCCCAGTAGCTGAATGAACAACAGCAACTCTCCCTCTTCGCAAAACTGGAAACTGACCAGCATGTCATGCATTGCAGAAGCTTTTCTGTACCCACCTGAGCAGGGGATGCAAACTACGTGACAGGAGCAGGGCCCAAAGGGAGCCAGTTCCTGACTTTATTTTGGGTGCTGGATTCTCATTTTTTGGCACTTAGCACTCCTAAGACTGCTGTGGAGGTTTGGCTGCAGAACAGGGGCTGCCAGCCAGAGAACAGCCTGGCCCTCAGGTCTCCACACTCTCTTGTCTTTGCTAAATAGCTCCCACCTGTTGCCCCATTGCTAAAACTGCCATGAGAAATGACTGCAGGTCGAAAAGGCTTTTAGATATTTTTAGAAGTGCTTCCTCCCTGCCCACTTGTGAAAGAGCAGCACAAACCAGGTTGACGGGATTACTGAATAACAAATGGAAGAGCCATTTCTGACGCTTTTCCAGGCAACGTCTGTCATCTGGGTTTCATTTGTCAAGCCTTGAGTGCTCAGGGCTCAGGAACAAAAAACACAGTGGTTGAATAAGCTGAGCTGAAGCACTCACTAAGCCCCCAGGGGACAGAAGCTCTGTACATGTGGATTTGTTCCAGTTGCAGAACTGGACTTAAAACTCAGCTGGTGCAGAGGAAAGAGGACCCTCCTTTTCTGCCTCAGTGGGTTCACTCCAGGGAGTGACAACTCCAGTTTTCTTGAGGGGGTGCTGTGTTTTCCCAGCTACTAGTTAGAGGGCCAGAAAATATCCAGTCCACCCCCTTGTGAATCGCCCAGCATTATATAGTAAATCTGGCATCCCCTGTCAGCATGGTATGGAACATAAGCGCTTAGAAGGAGGAGCATTCTTCCCAAAAGATGCCTCTCAAGAGTTGCATCAGTAATAAGATTTTTTCCTTTCTAAATTTCAGATGAAGCAGCAATGCGAACACACACACACACACACACACACACACACACACACACATGTGAAATGCACAGAGGGTCTCCTTGCTGTTTTTCCCCTTACAAGTGAAACTGACTGTATGGGGAATGGTTTTGTAATACAGAGACTGAGCATTTGCTTTGCATGCAGGAATTCCTCAGGTTTTCCAGGTAGGGCTGCAAATGTCCCCTGCCCTGAAACCTTAGAGAACTGCTGGTGGTGGTCAGAAAATACTGATCTAGATGTACCCAATGGTCTGACTCGCTATAAGGCAGCTTCCTATGCAGCAGTGGCACACATGCCCTGCGCCCAGGGGTGGGGCCAGCTGCCCACAGGGTGGGGCAAGCCAGGGCAGGATGCTCCGTGGGGCCTCCGAGGAGTCTGCCTGCCTTCTCCCACTCAGCCGCCCTACAGCTGAAGGGGAGGCGGTGTGCGGACCGTTTGGGGCAGCATAGAGCCTGCGGGCGCCCAAGCCATCATGTCACTCCCAGGAGAGAGGCATGGCTCGGGCACGCTGCAGGCCCCCGTGGTGAGTGCCACCTGGCATTTTGTCAACCGCCCTCAGTGGTGACACCCAGGGAGTTCCAACCCCCACCGCACCCCCTTCCTCCGCCCCTAAATCTGCTGTGCTAGCTGGGAGCCAGATACCATGATCCTGGGGAACAAGGCCAGGATCTACCCTGCAAGCCATCATTTGTTGGAAGATTCAGGACTGATAAAATAAATTTTCTATTTCTTCATGCAACATATAGTTAAACTGTAGAACTTGCTCCAGCAGGAAGCCATGATGGAGGGCTTTAAAAGAGGATTGGACAAATTCATGGAGGAAAAGGCTATCAGTGGCTACTAGGCATGATGGCATGTTAGGCCTCCCATCAGAGGCGTTACGTTGTTGAGAATCTTAAGTGGGGAAAGTTGCTGTTGTGCTCAGGTGCTGCTTGTGGGCTCCTCAGTAAAGCATCAAGACCAGGGGTCAGTAACCTTTTTCAGCAGGGGGCTGGACCACCATCCCTCAGACCTTGTGGGGGGCTGGACTATTTTTTGGGGGGAAATGATTGAATTCCTATGCCCCACAAATAACCCAGAGGTGCATTTTAAATAAAAGGACACATTCTACTCATGTCAAAACATGCTGATTCTCGGACCAACCACAGGCCGGATTGAGAAGGCGATTGGGCTGGATCCGGCCCCCGGGCCTTAGTTTGTCTACCCCTGATCTAGACATCTATGGTTGGCCACTGTGAGAACAGGATGCTGAACTAGATTGGCCTGATCCACCAGGGCTCTTCTAATGTCCAGTGGCTCTCCAGAGTGGGGTCTGTCCCATCCTCTTAACTGCATTCAACACATATGCTCTCTACTTATGAACTCTATATTAAATGTGTTTGGGAGTGGGGAGAGGGGTTATTGGTTTGTTCTTGTTTTTATTATGTATTTTGTGTTTCTATATTGTATTTTTATGCTGCGAACCACCTTGAGATCTATAGATGAAGAGTGGAATACAAATAATAAAAATTAAATAAACTATAACCCTTCCCTTAATATATCTGATGTGGGGAGATAAATAGTGTTCCCCAAAGGGGTGTGTGGCTGTAGATGCTGCAATTCCACCTCCCAACTGCTCAAACTATCCTTGGTGTAACAAACCTGAGATGAACCACTTAGCAAGCCCCTTTCCTCTTTCTCATATACCTGGGGGAAGGGCCATAGCTCAGTGGTATATCATACGTCTTGCATGCAGAAAGTCCCAGGTTCAATCCCTGCTGGCATCCCCAGCTATAGGGTTAACAGAGATGGCTGCTTGAAATCCTGGAAAACTGCTGCCAGTCAGTGCAGACAGTACTGAGCTAGATGGACCATTGGGGTAACTCAGTATAATAGAGCTTCCTATGTTCCTTTCTCTCCCTTGACTATTACATTTGATTTGTTTCATAGATTGCTTTTAATATTGTTTAAGACCTGAAGTTCTAAAACAGTCTGCCAGAGAAGCTTGGGTTCTTTGGGGAAACTTTCACAGTGTCTCTGATGAAAAATATCTGTAACAGAGAGCAAATTTCTCCAGATTGTATCAGCTTGGCAGGCATGCAAGGGGTGATGGTGGTTGAGTGTATTCTGGGTGCACTAAGTTCACACATGGGGGTATTGAGATGTCATAGGCTGCTCCTCTAGCAGCATGGATGCTCTGAAATATGTCCCAGAATCCTCTGTAGACTCATCAGTGCCTCGTGATTCTGTTAGGGTAGAAAGTTTCAAACTCTTTGCACTTCATTAGTTTAGGTGGAGGGGATTTTATCTCAGCTGGGTTTTTGGTTTTCTTTCTCAATATAAAAGGTAGCCTTGACTTCTCTTTAGAATATGAATTCGGTGTTCCGGACGATCCTGGACTTGACATACCCAATCACCTCCATGTTCTCCGGAGCCTCCTTCAATAATGGCGTCTGTAACATCTTCAAAGACAAGCAGATCGAAGTAAGTGGCGTGTGCTGCAAGCGTGGCAAATGATGGTGGCCAACCAGAGTGTGAACAGAAGACTGCAACAGGCTTACGAGGTTGGGTTGGCATCTCCCAGTAAGCTATTGTACAAGGGAAGGAGCCATCGCTCGGTGGTAGTGCATCAGCTTTGCATTCCAGGTTTAATCTCCAATGGCATCTCCAGGTAGGGCTGAAAGAGACTCCCTCTCTGAAACCTCAGAGAGCTGCTGCTAGTCAGGGTAAACGATACTGACCTACATGAACGAATAGACTGAATTAACATAAAACAACCAGCCTCTGATTAATCCAACTCACTTTCCAACCAGACTTGGGAGTTGGGTTCTGTTCTGAACCCGCCTGTGCGGGTGGTGTGATGCAGGGATACCAAAGAAGGATGCCAAAATGGCCAGTTCTAGTGCTTTATTAAAGAAGGGTGCAAACTTACAAAGCAGCCTGTAAAGCCCCACTGCTGTTTCATACGCAGGTCGGTCACTGCAGCAGTGAAAAGCCATCTTGACTTGTCTGCAAAGTGCTAATATGTTAAGCATTACTTATACAAAAGACAGAATATGTCAGTTTAGCCAGAATCTTCCATCAGTCCACCTGCTGATGAAGGCAAAGGTGGTAAGCATCCAAGTCTCACAGCTAGCTCCCCTCCCCAGGCCACGAACCAAGCTTCCGAAGCCCACAGATAAGCATGTCATCAAAGCAAGCCAATTAGTGTTTATCAAAGCAAGTAATGTGAGATAATCCTTGCAACAACTACCAATTATTTTCAGGATTATCCTGACTACCAATATGGTGTTTGCAGGGCTTCTGGAACATTTTCACCTTTGACTCTACACAGATGACACTAGTGAAAAAGCCCACCACTGTGGCAATAACCATCCTGCCTGTGATGGAAGTTGTAGACCCAACAGCATCTATGGACCTGATGTTGGACAAGTTTGTTTTAGAACCACAGAACCAAGTGGCTGCTTTAGCCTCTTTCAACAACATAATATGATAGCAACACATCTTTTAGCTGATCCCCTCTCTGAGCTGCTCCTCCCCCCCCCCCGATATTTTATCATTTATTTATTTGTTTGTTATTGCATTTATATCCCATCTTCTCCAAAGAGCGCAAGATGTCACACATGTTTCTTCCCCTCCTCATTTAATCCCCAGAACAACCCTGAGGAGTAGGTTAGACTGAGAGGGAGTGACTGGGCCAAGGTCACCCAGGGAACTTCATTGCTGAGTGGGAATTTGAACCCTGGTTTCCCAGGCCCTGGTCCAGCACTCTAGCCAATATGCCACACTTATCATCATCATCATCATCATCATCATCCATTCCCTCTTTAACTTTTTACCCAAGAAAGCCCTGTTTTGCCCCTGCCTTTAGAAGCTTTCCCTACCAAACAAGCAACACTCATCAGCGTGTTGCAGACCAGTCATTGTTTCCATGGGGGTGGGGGGTGGGGGGAAGAGATGAAACTTGAGCCCTTGTTAAACTTATGGGTTTAACCCACTTTATGTTGGAGTTGTTGCCTTTGCAGCAAGCTGGGTAGTAAGTAAACTACACTTTGTGTGGTTATCAGTGTAGTAAGCACATGCAACTCAGATGTGTGTGCAGGGATGGGGAGGAGACACACCACTTCTGCCTTACGGTTGCTGTTGCAGATGTGCCCTGCAGGAGCATCTGTGGTATTTGAAACATGCCCACAGATAGTATCCTCCATTTCCGACTCCCCCCCCCCCCGCTACAGATTATGTAGCCACTGCCAGTGCTTAATCAGCCCAGCTTTGAATTTCTTGATCCTCTCTATAGCTGTAAGGAAGAATCCTTATAATATATTGGTGTGTGGTCTTGGAAGGGGGCTAAAGTTCATCATGCAGGGATGGATTTAAGTTGTTCCAACCCAGATTGTGCCTCTGTGCGCGCACTAATCCAGCTCTGTACTGATGTTCCTTTATATATGTCCTCCCCCTCCCCCTGCCCCAATTGGCTCTTGCTTAAGGAGATTTTGAGCAGTCAGCATGCGCATTCCCAATGCTTCTCCATCCAAGTTTATTTCAGGATCACATTTTAAGTCCATCTCCTCTTGTCAAGGATGCTTTCCTGTGGCTTCCAGTTCTCAGTTGTTTATCTCTTGCAAAGATAAATGTTGCTTCTCAGAGTCCCATTCAGAAATGCCAGGAAATGTCAAGAGGATTGCTTTAATAATCCTCCCTCTATTTCTATTTCTATTGTTTATGTGTGAGTACCAAAGTGAACATAGCCGGAACTGCTCCACCCATGTGCAAGAGGGGAAGGCTCAGCAAGGGCCCAAGATTCACAGATACAACAAAATCTGGTGGGTGGGTGGGTTGGGGACAGAAAAACAGCAACCCAATGAGGCCTAAGTGTGCTCAGCGGCTACAGAATGCTGACTGACAGACGGGTGGTGGAAAACATGGGGGATGGAATAGAGTATCCTAGAGGAGATCATAATTGGCTGCTGGAGCCCTCGGCAAGAACGCTCCACACTGTTTTTTGGTAGACACACATTTCCCCAATAGAATTAAAACTGGAGGTGTGCTTTTTATACTTGGAAATAGTTTACAAGTGTAGAAGAATCAACTACCAACACTCAAAGGGCATGCTATTTTTCTGCATGACTCTCTAACCTAGGTGTGCCTCCAGATTGGAAGGCATACACAGGCATTCTGAAGAGACCGTGTCATGCTTGTCACTTTCATTAATGATGTTGATGCTTGTGGGGAGTGAGGAAATGAGTTTATTTGCTGGATCTCCCCACTGGAAGTGTTTAGTCAGTTGTACCCAGTCCCAAAAATATGTAGAAGCAATTTGACTTTGGCAAAAGCTGATTGGCCTGCCCTGCTTCCTGCGACTCATGCAGAGGTCTAACCAACAGATTCCTGTGTGGTTGGGTCTGTCTGCCGCTTTGGGTTTTAAAATATTTTTAATACTAATTTATTTCTCATGGTGCACTCACACACACAGTTTGGGAATTGGCGTTTTAAAACAAGTTGTTTTCTGTGCTGTAGGATCTTTGGATTCCTTACTTCATCATCACAACAGATATCACTGCCTCAGCAATGAGAGTCCACACAGATGGTAAGTATATCTGTGAAGGGCCCACAGTGCTTATCTCATTTAAAGCAGCTGAAGCCCTTGGACCGTTTTCCCACTGTACTTACAGCATAGGTTTGAAGCTCCCACAGATGCATTTGAGGGCTGGGTCTCAGGCTTTCAGCCCACTAAAATAATGATGGCTATGTTCTCTCTCCACTATCAGAGGCAGGGCGCCTCTGGTTGCCAGTTGCCAGGAATCACAAGTGGGGAAAGCTGCTGTTGCCCTCAAGAAGTGGGGCTGGTTGGGTTAGAGAAGAGCAGTTTGGCTGCTGCTGCTTTTCCTTCAGAGAGGATGGATCCTTTCTCTGACTTCCCCCCTGCCAGGCTGCCTGTGGCGGTACATCCGGGCCAGCATGTCACTTTCCGGCTACTTGCCCCCCCTCTGTGATCCAAAAGACGGGCATCTCCTGATGGACGGAGGCTACATCAACAACCTCCCAGGTACTGATGTAACTGCAACCTATTTTCTGCTTCTTTGCAGCTGGATCCTACTTCTAGCCCCAACTCCTGAATTTATTGGGGGGGGGGGTTGCAACTCACAGAGACATAAATTCAAATTTTGAGACTTACATATGGTGGGAAGAGAAGATCAAACTGTACAGAGGCTCTAATTGCATCCTTTTTTAAAGCTGCCTGGTTCAGTGTGTGGGCTGTGTGTCCCTGCTGATCCCCAACACCCCAAATATTTGCGATAGATGTTCACATTAACCTTCACCCACTCCCAGTCTTTTCAGAAACAAGTTTGCAGCCAGGGACATGAGAGCAAGTTCCTGAATGAGATTGAAGACTCTGAGTAAGGAGCGCAGCTGCACGCAAAACACACACACAAGTTGAGTGTGGTACCTGTGCCCCTCCAGCCCAAGGATGCTTCCTTGCCCAGTTCTCTGACTCAGAGGACTCCTATCACAGAAGCCTCAGTACAACCAGAGTTTCCCACGGACACCAGCTTGGCCACTGTGAGAACAGGATGCTGGACTGAATGGGCCATTGGCTTGATCCAGGAGGGCTCTTTTTGTGTTCAGAGTCTTCCCCATGCCATCTGACTGGAGCAGGATAGGCCCCCTTTACCCTCAAAAGGCACTTTTCAACGAAGGCAGGGTTTGCAGCTGGGACTGAACTGCTGCTCCTTTATAAGGCTAAGCCTAAGGTCGGCTATTGCTGATGTATTCAAAACCCTATGAA